GTGGAAGGGAAGGCCAAGGAGAGCATTTCTGGTCAGCCACCAAACTCTCTCACGTAGGAAATGGTAGTTTTCTAGGGCATTGTGCCCTTAAGTGAGTATATAAAGCCACTAAGCAATAAGACACGCAGTATTAACTTTAATTTCTATGCTTAGCATATTAATCCCAAACTCAGGATTCTTAACCTACTCAATTTTACAAGAATTATCATATTTTTTATATAATTTTCTGAGCACCTTTCCGGTACGCGCTTTTCCATAGCTAGTATCAGTTCTGGCACCAGTTCTCATTATTTTTACATGAAACTCGTTTTACAAGTCCTACATATCATTCTAGTAATTATCATGCACTTTTCTCTGGGATACTTTTCCGGTACACATTTATACCGACTAGCAGAACCGGTATCTGCATTTTTCTTCCGAAAAGCGACTTACAGCATTCTAAATCAATTACCATAATTATTAAGCCTCATAAATAATTATTAGGGTCAATTATGGAGTCATTTCCAATTAAACATCATTAAACAATTAAAATATCCTAATTAACGGTGCGAGTTCTTACAATCACCCCACCTTTTTTAGGATTTTGTCCTCAAAATCAGAAACATACCTGTCTCGAAACTCAGGGTACTGTCGGAGAAGCTCGTCCTCACGCTCCCAAGTACACTCCTCAGGTGTTCTTCCGGTCCACTGCACCTTGACCATCGGAATGGTCTTGTTCCTTAGTTGTTTCTCACCGCGATCGAGAATCTTTAGTGGTCCGACAGGAGTTTTCAAGTTCTCCCGAACTTTCAAATCATCAGGTTGCACCACGTGCGGAGGATCTGCTATGTACCTCCGAAGCTGAGACATGTGTAACACGTCGTGGATGTTGGCCAAGTTCGGAGGCAAGGCAACCACGAATCTGGTATGGCCCAATATATCACGGGTTCAGCTTCTTCACTACGAGTGCCCGTCCAACACCGGTGACAGGTGAAAGTCTCACAAACACCTGCTCACCCTAACTGAACTCCAGCGGACGATGCTTGACATCATAATAGCTCTTCTGGAGATTCTGTGCCTGCTTCAACTTTTCTCTGATCATCTGGATCTGCAAGGTGGTATCTTGGACAAAGTCCAAGCCAAAAAGCTCTTTATCTCCAACCTCAGACCAACAAGTAGGAGTCCGACACCTCCTACCATATAGTGCTTCGTAGGGCGCCATGCCCAGGCTAGCATGAAAGCTATTGTTGTACGAAAATTCAACCAACGGAAGGTACCTATCCCATGCCGAGCCCTGCTCCAACGTGCAAGCTCGCAACATGTCCTCTAATGTCTGGATGGTCCTCTCAGTCTGTCCATCAGTCTGAGGGTGATAGGTTGTACTCAGTCTCAACTGCGTACCAAAAGCCTCCTGCAACGCCTCCCAGAACCGAGATGTGAACTTCGGGTCCCTATCACTGATGATACTCTCGGGCACCCCGTGAAGCCTCACGATCTCGCGAACATACAGTTTGGCCAACTGCTCTGTAGTGAAGCTCACCTTCACTGGAAGAAAATGGGCAGACTTCGTCAGCCTGTCCACAATAACCCAAATAGAGTCACAACCCGCCTGGGTCTTCGGCAAACCCACCACGAAATCCATGGAAATACCTTCCCACTTCCACTGTGGTACTTCAAGAGGTTGAAGCTCACCAGACGGTTTCTGATGTTCAATCTTCACCTTCTGGCAAACCAAGCACTTAGACACAAAAACAACAACATCTTTCTTCATGCCCGGCCACCAGAAGGTCTTCTTCAGGTCTTGATACATTTTTGTAGCACCAGGGTGAATAGAAAATTGGCCTTTATGGGCCTCTGCCATAACCTCATCGGTCAACGGACCACGAGGAACCACAATCCTCTGCTGAAACAAAAGCAACCCATCATCATTCCAAGACACACCGGCCTGGTTCTTCACATAATCTAGACACTCTCTCTGAACTTGTGCCTCTTTGATCTTTTCAAGTAGCTCATTCACAACATCAGCTGCTTCCATCTCGAGAAGTACACTCTCACACGGAGCGGTCACTACCAGATTTCTGAACTTCTCCACAACATCAACATTACCAAGTAAACAACTAGATGAACTCCTGGATTTCCAGCTCAAAGCGTCGGCTACAACATTGGCCTTGCCAGGATGGTACCTCAACTCAAACTCGTAGTCCTTTATGAACTCCATCCATCTCCTCTGCCTCATGTTCAACTCCTTCTGGTCGAACAAATACTTCAAGCTCTTGTGGTCACTGAACACCACAAACCTCAAACCAAAAAGGTAATGCCTCCAAATCTTGAAAGCAAACACAATAGCAGCCAACTCCAAGTCATGAGTAGGGTAGTTCTCCTCATGAGGCTTCAACTGCCTCGAAGCATAGGCAATCACCTTGCCCAACTGCATCAGCACACAACCTAGCCCCTTCCCGGAGGCGTCGGTGTAAAGCTCAATCTCGAGCGCAGGATCAGGAAGGACCAACACAGGAGCAGTAGTCAGTCTCTCCTTTAACTCCTGAAAGCAAATCTCACACTCGTGAGTCCACACAAACGGAGTCTCTTTCCGAGTAAGGCGAGTCAATGGTAGAACCATGGTGGAGAATCCCTTGATGAACCTCCGATAGTAACCGGCCAAACCCAGAAAGCTCCTCACTTTCATACTGTCTTGGGCTGCTCCCAATCCAGTACGGCTTCGATCTTGTTCGGATCCACTGCAACACCTTCAGCAGAAATAACATGCCCAAGAAACTGCACAGACTTGTGCCAGAACTCACACTTTGAAGGCTTCGCAAACAACTTCTTGTCTTTCAACACTTGCAGAACAGTTCTCAGATGCTCCACATGCTCCTCCTCCGTCTTGGAGTAAATCAAAATATCTTCAATGAAGACGATCACAAACTGATCCAGGTACGGCTGGAAAATCCGGTTCATGTAATCCATGAACACTGCAGGTGCATTGGTGAGACCGAACAGAATCACCAAGTACTCGAAATGACCGTATCTCAAGCGAAACGCGGTCTTAGGAACATCCTCCGGCTTCACCCGAATCTGATGGTATCCGGACCGGAGATCAATCTTTGAATACACGCAAGCACCCCTGAGCTGATCCAACAGATCATCAATCCGAGGAAGAGGATACTTGTTCTTGATCGTCACCTTGTTCAGCTGCCTGTAGTCGGTGCACAACTACATAGTCCCGTCCTTCTTCTTCACAAAGATGACCGGTGCTCCCCACGGAGACACACTCGGTCGAATGAAGTCTTTCGCAGAAAGATCCTCAATATGCTGCTTCAGCTCTGCCAACTCCGGTGACGACATCCGATATAGAGCTAATGAAATAGGCCCCACACCAGGCAACAAATCAATGGAGAACTCTATCTCCCTCAGTGGCGAAAACTCAGGAATCTCCTCAGGAAACACCTCAAGGAACTCCCTCACCACAGGTATGCCAGTGATGTCCTCCCGTGTCCCACTCACCAAACCTCCCAACATTACGTAACCAAATGCCCCAGCTCTCAAGGCTCTCCTAGCCTGCAGTAAAGAAATGTACGGCGAGGAACAAGCTGTGGAATCACACGGAGACATCACCACACGCTTGGCACAACAATCAATCAATGCACAGTTCCTGGACAACCAATCCATGCCCAGAATAACTTCCAAGTTGGCCATCAGCAATCCTATCAGATCTATGAGAACTCACGGCCATCCCACTGAAACACGACATCTCGATGAACAGTGGAAGAATCACATCTTTCTCCGGTGGCGGTGGTCACCCGCAGCGGTGGAGAAAGCTCAGACATGGGCAACTCAAGCCCCACAGCAATCAGGGTAGCAACAAAAGAATGCGTAGCCCTAAAGTCAAACAAAGCATCAACATATGTACCACCAATGGTAACTGTACCTCTGACCAGGTTCAGAGCTCGGTCCGACTGCTGACGATCCAGGGTATAAACAAGCCCAGTAGACGGTGGCACTGCCGGTGCTGTAGTAGGTGGAAAGGGAACCATCTGTAGTGGCACTGCTTGAACTGCAGTAGCCCTCGCTGTCGCCGACGGACAATCTCTGGAGAAGTGGCCCTCCTTGCCACACTGAAAACAAATCAACTGGCCGGTAGAACACGACCCATAATGAGTCTTCCCGCATCCCGAACACTTGGGAGCAGGAGGTCTCGCTGCATTGCCCTAACCAGAAGTCATCTTGAACTGATTCGGCGCCTGCCGAGCTGCCATCTGTTTACCTTTACCCTTGTTCCCAACCTTCTGGTCTCTCCAAGAAGTGGAACTACCAGCAACCCTCGTCGCCTCAGCAACCTTCGTAGTATCTGCTACCTTGGTCCTCTTGGCCTTACTTGAGTCATAGAAATCTTCAATATCACGACACTGCTGAACCAGTGTCCCAAAGTCTCTAGATGCAGAACCAGCTAGGTAACCAGCAATATCCTCACTAAGTCCCCTGTGGAACTTAGCAGCCAGGTAAGTAGGAGTAGGCCTCGCCATCCTAAAGTGTGCAAACTAATGTAATATGCATATTTAGGGAACGAGAACACCCTTCCCGTGATCATTTCCTCCCTTCTTACCAAGGACCAAGAAGAACTACTGCTTGACAAGCTCAGAAAGTATCAAGGAGCTATCGATTGGACCATAGTTGATCTCAAAGGTATCAGTCCTTCTTTTTGCATGCACAAAATATTATTGACTGAACCTAACAACTTTTCTGTAGAACACCAAAGAAGATTGAACCCTATAATGAAAGAGGTGGTAAGAAAAGAAGTTATCAAATGGCTGGATGCAGGAATCATATACCCGATACCTGACAGCAGTTGGGTAAGTCCTGTCCAATGCGTCCCCAAAAAGAGAGGCATAACGGTGGAGAAAAATGAAAAAGATGAGCTAATATCTGTAAGAAAAGTTACAGGATAGCGCATCTGCCAAGACTACAGAAAGCTCAACAATGCCACCAGGAAGGACCTCTTCCCCCTCCTTTTTACCGATCAAATGTTAGACCATCTGGCAGGGAATGAGTACTTCTGCTTCCTTGACAGATATTCAGGGTATAATCAGATTGCGTTGGCACCAGAAGATCAACATAAAACCACCTTCACCTACCCGTATGGAACGTTCACTTTCAGAAGGATGCCCTTTGGACTATGCAATGCACCAGCAACGTTCCAAAGGTGTATGTTCTTAATTTTTTCCGATTTAATAGGTGAAGGAGTGGAAGTCTTTATGGATGATTTTTCAGTACTGGGGACGACATATGACCACTGCTTGGAAAACTTAGAGAAAGTCCTTCAAAGGTGTCTGTCCTCTAATCTGGTGCTTAATTGGGAAAAATGCCACTTCATGGTGAAGGAAGGAATAGTCCTGGAACACAAGATCTCCCGAGAAGGACTAGAAGTGGATCAGGCCAAAGTAGAAGCTATAGCAAAGATGCCATCACCAGTGAATGTAAAAACCCTGAGATCTTTTCTCGGGCATGCCGGCTTCTACCGAAGGTTTGTCAAAGATTTTTCCAAAATAACTAGACCTTTGTGCCATTTGTTAAAAAAAGATATAAAATTTGAGTTTAACTCTGATTGTTTAAAAGCTTTTGAATCCTTGAAAAATAAACTCATAACCACGCCTGTTATCCAACCTCCAGACTGGAACTTACCCTTTGAGATAATATGTGATGCAAGTGATTATGCTATTGGGGTAGTTCTGGGCCAGAGGAAGGATAAACTCTTTCGTAGCATATACTATGCCAGTAAAACCTTAAATGAAGCTCAGGTGAATTACACAGTCACTGAAAATGAGCTGTTGGCTGTAGTATATGCCTGCGAAAAGTTCAGGTCGTACATTTTAGGATCAAAAGTTACTGTCCATACTGACCATGCAGCTCTCAAGTACCTCTTCTAAAAAAGGAGGCAAAACCACGTTTGATAAGATGGATTTTACTGCTGCAAGAGTTCAATCTGGAGATCAAAGAAAGAAAGGGTTGTGAAAACCAAATTGCGGATCACCTGTCCAGATTAGAACACGTTGAAATAGGGCTACCAATCCAGGAAACGTTCCCTGACGAACAATTGTTTGTCGTCAATCACGTAGAAACAAACGTTCCTTGGTTTGCTGATATAGCTAACTTTCTTGCAGCAGGACTAGAACCTTATGAGGCGAATAGAATGCAGAAGAAATTTTTTTTTATGATTGCAGGCACTACCTCTGGGATGAACCACTACTGTTTAAAAGATGCGCAGACCAAGTGATAAGAAGGTGCGTCCCAGAAGAAGAAAAACCTCAAATCCTTCAACACTGCCATTCATCCCCATATGGAGGACATCTAGGTGGAATCAGGACCGCCTCCAAGGATCTTCAATCAGCTTTTTTCTGGCCTTCCCTCTTTAAAGATGCTCTTCGATATGCAAATAATTGTGATAAATGTCAGAGAGAAGGAAACTTGACTAGACGAAATGAGATGCCCCTCAATCCAATCTTAGAAGTTGAATTTTTTGATGTCTGGGGCATTGATTTCATGGGGCCTTTTCCTCCTTCAAATGGGAACAGATTCATACTGATGGCCGTGGATTATGTGAGCAAGTGGGTAGAAGCAGTTGCTTTACCCAATAATGATGCTAAGGTGGTTATAAAATTTTTAAAAAGAAACATTTTAACCAGATATGGAACCCCACGTTGTCTCATCAGCGACGAAGGGAAACATTTCATCAACCGCCAACTTGAGAGATTGTTGGAAAAATATGGAGTCAGACACAAGGTTGCAACTCCTTATTGTAAGAACCCGCACCGTTAACTAGAGTATTTTAATTGTTTAATTATGTTTAATTGGAAATGACTCCATAATTGACCCTAGAGTATTTTAATTGTTTAATTAAGTCAGAATGCTGAAAGTCGCTTTTCGGAAGAAAAGTGCAGATACCGATTCTGCTAGTCGGTATAAATGCGTACCGAAAAAGTATCCTGGAAAATTATGAAAAGTGCATGATAATTACTAGAATAATATGTAGGACTTGTAAAACGAGTTTCATGTAATTATAATGAGAACTGGTGCCAGAACTGATACTGGCTATGGAAAAGCGCGTACCAGAAAGGTGCTCAGAAAAATATAATAAAAATATGATAATTCTTGTAAAATTGAGTAGGTTAAAAATCCTAAGTTTGAGATTAAAATGCTAAGCGTAGCAATTAAAGTTAATACTGCGTGTTTATTGAGTAAGTGGCTTTATATACTCATTTTGGGCACTAAACCCTAGACACTCAGACTTCCTACGTGACTCTCTTGGTGGCTGAACGTTGGCTACTGTTCCATTGCTTGTTCTTCACCATTTCTTGAGCAAGTTGGTCCCTTTTGCACTAAGTCTTCCCTTTTCTTCATTCTAACCACTTGGTTGGGGTGAGGGTGAGCATTGTGAGTGAAAAGGCCAGCCATTTTCTGAGCTTGTGGACTGTTTTGGAGTACCTTGAGGGCTGACTTATTGGTTGAGTGTGGAGAGGCTTTGTTCTTGGCTTGTGAAGCTTCCTTTGGGTAGAAAGATCAAGTCTTGAGCACCATTTTCGTGTATCTTGTGTGGCCTGAGTGCTGGAGCAGTTGAGAGAGCTCCAAGAGCATCACCTACCTCTGTTTTGGCTTGTGGTATGATTACCACCTTTGATCTTGAGTTTTTATGCTTAAAAATGAAAGCTTGATGCATGTTAAGGCTAAAAGATGATAACTTGATGTTGGGTAATGTCTAACACACCTAGAAATGCATGTTTAGGTGTTTAAAATCGGTAAAAACCCAACCTTTGGACTGGATATTCACGAAATGCAATTTCTGCATTCTGTCGTGAAATATCCGGATATGTGCCCGTGATATAACCGGATATGGTATCCGGATATTGGCATCCGGATATGGGGTTTCTGATATCCGAATATGGATATCCGGATATGCATATCCGGATATCCGGATATGCATATCCGGATATCCGGATATGTCCCCGACATATATCCGGATATTCTGGGATTTCGAAGAACAGTAGCTGTACTGTGAGGACAGTAGGCTATTGGGGGTTTGTAGACCCTAGATTAATGAAGTTGAACTTTTGTAATTAATTAACTAAGTCAGAATCATGTGATTGAGGGCTTGTGGCTTTGTTGGAAGCCTTAAGACGTAAACCGTAATAGAAAGGCGTTTTCTTTAAGTTGTATGCATGTGGTACATGTTATTGATTTATTATTGGTCCTATATCAGATTGTGATCTATTGCGTGTTGGACTTGAGCTGTGAGGACTCTTGTGGTATTGGATAGCTAGCTTAAGGTAAGGTTTCGTGTCCTCGGTTTAGCCATGTTGTGGTTCCACCATGTCCCATGGTGATATGGTATATGCATGCTGTGTTTCATGCTTTGATGTTTTGGAAATGCTGTTGAGCTGTTATATGTTAGTGCCTTTTTGATATGCATGTGGTGTCCACCTATACGGTAAGCCTGAGTATGTAGAACATACAATATGGTGAGGCTGTGGGTGAGGTGCAAACGGTGTTCCTTGTACTACATGTAGGAGATAGACGTATTCCTGCATTTCTCTGGCCAGTAGAATAGTATCAACACACATGTCATGATTATCTGTTGCACTACATAGTTTTGAGAACTTATATTGAATAAATGCTTTTGAACTTATATTGCACATGTAAGTGAGCTTGGGGTGGAAGATCCTTGAAGACCCCTTGTCTTACTGAGATTTCTGTTTAGAGATCTCACCCCACGTTTGGGGCACCATTTCAGGTTCAGGTAATGCTGGGGTAGAGACCTCGGGCGGCAGGAGGCCGGAGCTGAGTTAGAGTTGATGTTTATAGCTGATGTATTGGATGCTGTTATGCATGTTGGCTTGTGCTTTTAGTTCTTTATGTTATGATTATTATGTTGAGACTCTGTTGGTTATGATGTTGATTTGGTGAGCATGGGGATTGTCCATGCCACATAGACTTGTTATGTCTTGTTTATTCGGAGTTGTATTAATGTATCAGGATTATTGTCCGGATTACATGATGTAATGTCGTGACTTAGATACTCACTCTATTTATATATTGAGGTATTTCAGTAGATGTCTTATTGCAATTTACATTTAGGCGATATTTTATGAAATATGATTAAGTAAGCAAGCTGGCTAAGTATAATGACGTCATAATTGAAAAGAAAAAGAATATTCCGCAATTTTAATTAAGCGTAGCTTAATACGATGCAATGTTAATACTACCGGATATATACGGGGTGTTACATTTTATGGTAGCAGAGCAACGGTTCAAGGGAAAAGCCTGTATGTATTGCAATGATTAGGATGTTTTGTTGAGTCTGTCTTGTGTGTTTACTCCGTCGAATGTTATCATAATGATGCATTTGTGATCACATTGCGTGGGCCAGATCAACTCATTATTTGTGTAACTTTTGCAGAGTCATGGTAAGAATCGGGAGAACACAGGGGACTTCTGAGGATCTACCTGATCCTGTCCTGGCTGCTCTAGCTGAAATGCAGGCGGCCCGACTAGCCGACCAGGAGGCCATGAGAATGGAAAACCAGGCCATGCTGGACGCCGTCAGAGAGGCGAACATGAAGGCCACTGAGGACATGTTGGAGTCCAACCGTATGGCGAACATGACCATGTTCAGAGTCATGTTGGAGGAGTTGAGGGCTGGTCCTGCTGGTGGCCATGCACCTCCGCCACCACCTCCACCGCCACCACCACCACCTCCACCTAGTCTGCACGACGACTCTCAGAGTCAGATGGGTGAGGGCAGTCATCTTACGGGGGCCATGCAGACCGTCCCTGTGTTTGCTGAGGATCGAGATGAGATCGATCGCCGGCTGAATGCTTTCCGCAAGAATAAGCCACCTTTATTTGATGGATCTTTTGATCCTGTTGCTGCGACGCGATGGCTTCAGGCGCTTGACAAGATTTTTCAGGTCATGCAGTGCACAGATCTGCAGAAGTTGATGTTCGCCACCTATATGCTGGAGGGCGATGCCCACGAGTAGTGGAGGAACACTTCTCATGTTTACCAGATGCAGGGTCATGTGATGACATGGCCGATGTTCGAGGATTTCTTCTTGGGTCAGTACTTCCCATATGAAGCTCAGGAGAGGAAACAGGGGGAGTTTGATCGGTTGGTTCAGGGTTCGTTGTCTGTTGACGAATACCTGGCCAAGTTTAATCAGCTGGTGAAGTTTTCACACTTCAGGATGGCGAGGCCTACTCCTACTTTCTTGGCTGCTAAGTTCCGCAGGGGACTTAGTTATGATATTGCGGGTTATCTTGCTGGTTCTGCCTCGCGTGATTTTGGGACACTGGTTCAGCAGTGTCGTGATATTGAAGATTTCTATGACTCAAGTAAGGCCAAGAGGGATAAGGTAGCAGATACTACAAAGGTCGCTGAGGCGACAAGAGTTGCTGGGAGTTATACTTCTTGGAGGGACAGGAAGTTTAAGAACAAGGGTAAAGGTAAACAGATGGCAAATCGGCAGGCGCCGAATCAGTTTCAGAGGACTTCTGCTCAAGGGAGTGCAGCAAGACCTCCTACTCCCAAGTGTTTGGGATGCGGGAAGACTCATTTTGGGCCATATGCTACCGGTCAGTTGATTTATTTTCAGTGTGGCAAGGAGGGCCACTTTTCCAGAGATTGTCCGTCAGCGACGGCTAGGGCTACTGCAGTTCAGGCAGTGCCACTTCAGATGGTTCCCCTTCCACCTACTACAGCACCGGCAGTGCCACCGTCTACTGGGAGTGTTTATACCCTGGATCGTCAGCAGTCGGACCGAGCTCCGAACCTGGTCAGAGGTACAGTTACCATTGGTGGTACATCTGTTGATGCTTTGTTTGACTCTGGGGCTACGCATTCTTTTGTTGCTACCCCGATTGCTGTGGGGCTTGATTTGCCCATGTCTGAGCTTTCTCCACCGCTGCAGGTGACCACCGTCACCGGAGAAAGATGCGATTCTTCCACTGTTCATCGAGATGTCGTGTTTCAGTGGGATGGCCGTGAGTTCTCGGTGGATCTGATAGGATTGCCAATGGCCAACTTGGAAGTTATTCTGGGCATGGATTAGTTGTCCAGGAACTGTGCATTGATTGATTGTTGTGCCAAGCGTGTGGTGATGTCTCCGTGTGATTCCACAGCTAGTTCCTCGCCGTACATTTCTGTGCTGCAGGCTAGGAGAGCCTTGAGAGCTGGGGAGTTTGGTTACGTCATGTTGGGAGGTTTGGTGAGTGGGACACGGGAGGACATCACTGACATTCCTGTGGTGAGGGAGTTCCTCGAGGTGTTTCCTGAGGAGATTCCTGAGTTTCTGCCACAGAGGGAGATAGAGTTCTCCATAGATCTGTTGCCTGGTGTGGGGCCGATTTCCCTAGCTCCATACCGGATGTCGCCGCCGGAGTTGGCAGAGCTGAAGCAGCATATTGAGGATCTTTCTGCGAAAGACTTCATTCGACTGAGTGTGTCTCCGTGGGGAGCACCGGTCATCTTTGTGAAGAAGAAGGATGGGACTATGCGGTTGTGCATCGACTACAAGCAGCTGAACAAGGTGACGACCAAGAACAAGTATCCTCTTCCTCGGATTGATGATCTGTTGGATCAGCTCAGGGGTGCTTGTGTGTATTCGAAGATTGATCTCAGGTGAAGCCGGAGGATGTTCCTAAGACCGCGTTTCGCTCGAGATACGGTCATTTTGAGTACTTGGTGATTCTGTTCGGTCTCACTAATGCACCTGTCGTGTTCATGGATCACATGAACCGAATTTTCCAGCCGTACCTGGATCAGTTTGTGATCGTCTTTATTGACAATATTTTGATTTATTCCAAGACGAAGGAGGAGCATGTGGAGCATCTGAGAACTATTTTGCAAGTGTTGAAAGACAAGAAGTTGTATGCGAAACCTTCAAAGTGTGAGTTCTGGCTCAAGTCTGTGCAGTTTCTTGGGCATGTTATTTCTGCTGAGGGAGTTGCAGTGGATCCAAACAAGATCGAGGCCGTACTAGATTGGGAGCGGCCCAAGACAGTTACGAAAGTGAGGAGCTTTCTAGGTTTGGCCGGTTACTATCGGAGGTTCATCAAGGGATTCTCCACCATGGTTCTACCATTGACTCGCCTTACTCGAAAGGAGACTCCATTTGTGTGGACTCACGAGTGTGAGGTTTGCTTTCAGGAGTTGAAGGAGAGACTGACTACTGCTCCTGTGTTGGTTCCTGATCCTGCGCTCGAGATTGAGCTTTACACCGACGCCTCCGGGAAGGGGCTAGGTTGTGTGCTAATGCAGTTGGGCAAGGTGATTGCCTATGCTTCGAGGCAGTTGAAGCCTCATGCGGAGAACTACCCTACTCATGACTTGGAGTTGGCTGCTATTGTGTTTGCTTTCAAGATTTGGAGGCATTATCTTTTTGGTTTGAGGTTTGTGGTGTTCAATGACCACAAGAGCTTGAAGTACCTGTTCGACCAGAAGGAGTTGAACATGAGGCAGAGGAGATGGATGGAGTTCATTAAGGACTACGACTTTGAGTTGAGGTACCATCCTGACAAGGCCAATGTGGTAGCCGACGCTTTGAGTCGGAAATCCGGGAGTTCATCCAGTTGTTTACTTGGTAATTTTGATGTTGTGGAGAAGTTCAGAAATCTGGCAGTGACCGCTCCGTGTGAGAGTGTACTTCTCGAGATGGAAGCAGCTGATATTGTTAATGAGCTACTTGAAAAGATCAAAGAGGCACAAGTTCAGAGAGAGTGTCTAGATTATGTGAAGAACCAGGCCGGTGTGTCTTGAAATGATGATGGGTTGCTTTTATTTCAGCAGAGGATTGTGGTTCCTCGTGGTCCGTTGACCAATGAGGTTATGGCAGAGGCCCATAAGGGCCAGTTTTCTATCCACCCTGGTGCTACGAAAATGTTTCAAGACCTGAAGAAGATCTTCTGGTGACCAGGCATGAAGAAAGATGTTGCTGTTTTTGTGTCTAAGTGCTTGGTTTTCCAGAAGGTGAAGATTGAACATCAGAAACCGTCTGGTGAGCTTCAACCTCTTGAAGTACCACAGTGGAAGTGGGAAGGTATTTTCATGGATTTCGTGGTGGGTTTACCGAAGACTCAGGCGGGTTGTGACTCTATTTGGGTTATTGTGGACAGGCTGACGAAGTCTGCCCATTTTCTTCCACTGAAGGTGAGCTCCACTACAGAGCAGTTGGCCAAGCTTTACGTTCGCGAGATCGTGAGGCTTCACGGGGTGCCTGAGAGTATCATTAGTGATAGGGACCCGAAGTTCACATCTCGGTTCTGGGAGGCACTGCAGGAGGCTTTTGGTACGCAATTGAGACTGAGTACAGCCTATCACCCTCAGACTGATGGACAGACTGAGAGGACCATCCAGACATTGGAGGACATGTTGCGAGCTTGCACGTTGGAGCAGGGCTCGGCATGGGATAGGTACCTTCCGTTGGTTGAATTTTCGTACAACAACAGCTTTCATGCTAGCCTGGGCATGGCGCCTTACGAAGCACTGTATGGTAGTAGGTGTCGGACTCCTACTTGTTGGTCTTCGGCTTAGACTTTTTCCAAGATACCACCTTACAGATCCAGATGATCAGAGAAAAGTTGAAGCAGGCGCAAAATCGTCAAAAGAGCTACTATGATGTCAAGCATCGTCCTCTGGAGTTCAGTGAGGGTGAGCACGTGTTTGTGAGACTTTCACCTATCACCGGTGTTGGACGGGCACTCGGAGTGAGGAAGCTGAGCCTGCGATATATTGGGTCATACCAGATTCTTGGTAGAGTAGGACATGTTGCCTACCGGCTTGCCTTGCCCCCGAACATGGCCAACATCCACGACGTGTTACACGTGTCTCAGCTTCGGAGGTGCATAGCAGATCCTTCGCACGTGGTGCAACCTGATGATGTGGAAGTTCGGGAGAACCTGAAAACTCCCGTCGGACCACTCAAAATTCTCGATCGTGGCGAGAAGCAGTTGAGGAGCAAGACCATTCCAATGGTCAAGGTGCAGTGGACCGGAAGAACACCTGAGGAGTGTACTTGGGAGCGTGAGGACGAGCTTCTCCGGCAGTACCCTGAGTTTCGAGACAGGTATGTTTCTGATCTTGAGGACAAAATCCTAAAAAGGTGGGGTGATTGTAAGAACCCGCACCGTTAATTAGGGTATTTTAATTGTTTAATTATGTTTAATTGGAAATGACTCCATAATTGACCCTAATAATTATTTATGAGGCTTAATAATTATGGTAAGTAAGTCAGAATGCTGAAAGTCGTTTTTCGGAAGAAAAGTGCAGATACCGGTTCTGCTAGTCGGTATAAATGCGTACTGAAAAAGTATCCCAGAAAATTATGAAAAGTGCATGATAATTACTAGAATAATATGTAGGACTTGTAAAACGAGTTTCATGTAATTATAATGAGAACTGGTGCCAGAACCGATACTGGCTATGGAAAAGCGCGTACCGGAAAAGTGCTCAAAAAAATATAATAAAAATATGATAATTCTTGTAAAATTGAGTAGGTTAAGAATCCTAAGTTTGAGATTAAAATGATAAGCGTAGAAATTAAAGTTAATACTGCGTGTTTATTGAGTAAATGGCTTTATATACTCATTTTGGGCACTAAACCCTAGACACTCAGACTTCCTACGTGACTCTCTTGGTGGCTGAAGGTTGGCTACTGTTCCATTTCTTGTTCTTCACCATTTCTTGAGCAATTTGGTCCCTTTTGCACTAAGTCTTCCCTTTTCTTCATTCTAAACACTTGGTTGGGGTGAGGGTGAGCATTGTGAGTGAAAAGGCCAGCCATTTTCTGAGCTTATGGACTGTTTTGGAGTACCTTGAGGGCTGACTTGTTGGTTGAGTGTGGAGAGGCTTTGTTCTTGGCTTGTGAAGCTTCCTTTGGGTAGAAAGATCAAGTCTTGAGCACCATTTTCGTGTATCTTGTGTGGCCTGAGTGCTGGAGCAGTTGAGAGAGCTCCAAGAGCATCACCTACCTCTGTTTTGGCTTGTGGTATGATTACCACCTTTGAACTTGAGTTTTTATGCTTAAAAATGAAAGCTTGATGCATGTTAAGGCTAAAAGATGATAACTTGATGTTGGGTAAAGTCTAACACACCTAGAAATGCATGTTTAGTATTTACAAAAAAAAGAAAAAAGAAATGCATGTTTAGGTGTTTAAAATCGGTAAAAACTCAACCTTTGGACTTGATATTCACGAAATGAAATTTATGCATTCTCTCGTGAAATATCCGGATATGTGCCCGTGATATATCCGGATATGTGACATCTGGATATGGTATCCGGATATTGGCATCCGGATATCATCCGGATATGATATCCGGATATTGGGTATCCGGATATGTCCCCGACATATATCCGGATATTCTGGGATTTCGAAGAACAGTAGCTGTACTGTGAGGACAGTAGGCTATTGGGGGTTTGTATACCCTAGATTAATGAAGTTGAACTTCTGTAATTAATTAACTAAGTCAGAATCATGTGATTGAGGGCTTGTGGCTTTGTTGGAAGCCTTAAGACGTAAACCGTAATGGAAAGGCGTTGTCTTTAAGTTGTATGCATGTGGTACATGTTATTGATTTATTATTGGTCCTATATCAGATTGTGATCTGTTGCGTGTTGGACTTGAGCTGTGAGAACTCTTGTGGTATTGGATAGCTAGCTTAAGGTAAGCTTTCGTGTCCTCGGTCTAGCCATGTTGTGGTTCCACCATGTCCCATGGGGATATGGTATATGCATGTTGTGTTTCATGCTTTGATGTTTTGGAAATGTTGTTGAGCTGTTATATGTTAGTGCCTTTTTGATATGCATGTGATGTCCACCTATACGGTAAGCCTGAGTATGTAGAACATACAACATGGTGAGGTTGTGGGTGAGGTGCAAGCGGTGTTCCTTGTACTACATGTAGGAGATAGACGTATTCCTGCATTTCTCTGGCCAGTAGAATAGTATCAACACACATGTCAAGAATATCTGTTGCACTACATAGTTTTGAGAACTTATATTGAATAAATGCTTTTGAACTTATATTGCACATGTAAGTGAGCTTGGGGTGGAAGATCCTTGAGGACCCCTTGTCTTACTGAGATTTCTGTTTAGAGATCTCACCCCACGTTTGGGGCACCATTTCAGGTTGTGGTAATGCTGGGGTAGAGACCTCGGGCGGCAGGAGGTCGGAGCTGAGTTAGAGTTGATGTTTATAGCTGATGTATTGGATGCTGTTATGCATGTTGGCTTGTGCTTTTAGTTATTTATGTTATGATTATTATGTTGAGACTCTGTTGGTTATGATGTTGATTTGGTGAGCATGGGGATTGTCCATGCCACATAGACTTGTTATATCTTGTTTATTCGGAGTTGTATTAATGTATCAGGATTATTGTCCGGATTACATGATGTAATGACGTGACTTAGATACTCACTCTATTTATAAATTGAGGTATTTCAGTAGATGTCTTATTGCAATTTACATTCAGGCGATATTTTATGAAATATGATTAAGTAAGCAAGCTGGCTAAGTATAATGACGTCATAATTGAAAAGAAAAAGAATATTCCGCAATTTTAATTAGGCGTAGCTTAATACGATGCAATGTTAATACTACCAGATATATACGGGGTGTTACACTTATCATCCGCAAACCTGTAGACTCATTGAAGTCTCTAACCGAGAGGTTAAGAGGATATTAGAGAAGGTAGTCAATCCTTCTCGAAAATACTGGTCTCTCAAGTTAGATGAAGCATTATGGGCTTACAGAATCGCATATAGGACACCTCTAGGATGTTCTCCATACAGGTTGATACTTGGAAAAGCATGCCACCTTCCTCTTGAGTTAGAGCATAAAGCATATTGGGTTGTTCATGTCCTTAATATGGATGAAAGAGCAGCAGGAGAAAAGAGACTGTTACAACTGGAAGAGTTAGAGGAATTCTGTGGGAACACGTATGAGAACCACAAATTGGACAAGGAGAAGATGAAGAAGTGGCACGATAAAAGGATCAGCAACAGAGATCTCAAAGTTTGTCAAAAAGTATTGCTCTTCAATTCTCGACTCAGACTGTTTCCAGGTAAGCTCAAATCAAGATGGACCGGGCCATACCAAATTGTTAACAACACAGGAAATGGAGCTTTTGAAATACAAGGCTCGGAACATGGCCGCTCCTTCAAAGTAAATGGGCATAGGTTGAAAATATACAATGATGAAACCTTTGACGAAAAAGAGGAAAGTATCCCTCTCTCTGAATCCACTTGAGAAGTAAGTACTATGTCTAGCTAAGGACATTAAACTAAGCGCTGACTGAGAGGCAACTCATTAGATACATTTGCTCTCTGACAAAGAGCAAAGTTTTGGGGTGGTTACACGTAACCACAAGACTCTCGAAATGGAGGGAACATATGATGTTCCTCTCCAAAACAATCCAAACAAAGTACGTTCCGTTCCAGGAACGTAGTTTTGGGGTGGCCACTGACCACGCATTCCCAAGTATCCTAGTTATGTTTATTTTTGTTGTTTGTTTTCTTTCCGTTCCCTTGTAATTAATCTTTTTTGTAATGAAAAAGACATTTTGATCAAACTGTTTGGTACATACTTACATTTCAGTTATAGTATTAAGACTGTCCAACTCTTTTTGATTAACTAACATACATGAAACACAAAGTCACTGACTAATCATGCTTGTTCTTTCTCTGAGTATTTGAAATAGAAACTGTACAGGGTATTTAATCCTTAGATTTTTGAAAGAAGCTGATCTGTGTGTACTCAACTGGTAAGGAACGGAAAAATGCCAAACACCTACTTCAGAGAGCGTTCCTGAGGTATCACCACAATGAAACTTCTCAACTTGCCTTGATGCTGTCAGTACTGCTGAAGGATGGTTGAAGTCCACTGCCAAGGATCAAACAGAATCACACACTCACCATACACCATCTGGTCAATCAGAAAGAACAAGGAACGAACTCAAAAGTGAACAAAAAGGACAGAAGAAAACAAAGAAAGGAAGAAGGGAACAGCCATTCAAAAGAAAAACAAGAAAACTTTCCTCCAAAGGAGGAATAAAAGTTCAAGACAAGGTGTTCACCCAATTAGAAAAAGTCCAAGTTCAAAGGCACAAAAACTAAACGTTCCTTGCTCTTACAAAAATCAGACCACACTTCCTCAACAAATTCCATACACTCATCCATCAAAGATCCTTGGAACGAAAGACAGTTGTACTTCATAGGAACGCAGCAGAAAGGGGAAGTTCTGAAGAATCACATCCAGGAATGGACAGAGCAAACACCAACCCTTGAGTGACAGTGAGATGAAAGATCAGCAACCTTCTGTTATCTGGGGACGGAATCCTCTTACTGTTTACTATAGAGAGTAGCTCATTTTCTGAAAAGTCATGGTTGCTCACTGGCTCAAGTTTCTTTCTGTTATGTTATTCTTTTTGAATTGGCAGACCAATACAATATTTCTGAGTTGTTTGAGGACAACCAACAGTTTAGTTTTGGGGTGTTTGACGGGACGTAAAACCGTGCCCATCTAAGCCCATTTTGATGGCAAAATACCATCCGTTTCCTCATCTGATGAGCAACTTCAGCAGGAAAATCACTTGTTTTACACATTTGTGACAAAAACACAGTGGGGGAACGAATGATGACGTATTCCTTTAAAATATATTAAAAGGGAACGGATTGGGACGCATTTAATACACCTGCTATCGCATTTAATGCTTCTGTACAATTTTGCAGGTGACGTAAGACTGCAGTCATCCAAAAAGCAAGGCGGTGAACCACTTGAATAGATATAAACGTTAAGAGCAGAGAACCCAGCGTTCTCATTGGTCGAAAAGGAAAGCAAGGCATGGGATGACCTGCAAACAACGGCTAATCATCACCAACCTTGCCCAATTCAGAAAATCTGCACAGCCTCCACACGCCAATGTCACCGTCCCGTCCCCTCAATTCAAGCAAGCAGCTCTAAAGGATTTACCAGTTTGCCATCCTTCTTCCAGCTATAAATAGGACAACCCTCACACAAAAACATCATCGAATCCTGGAGGGTCTGAAGTCCAAAAGGAAAAGATCACTTAGTAGTAGTATTAGTTAGTAGTAGTTTCTTTTAAGTTGTAACTGTAGTTAAGGGATAACTCCTTCTTCTGTTTCTGTATCAACCATTAAGACTCCTCACGAGCAACTATCCACCTTTCTCCATTTTCTATTTCTTTTTGTAACTGTCTTTTTTAATTAATATAAGTGTTTTTCTCTTCGTCCCACTCGTTATCTCTTGATTGAATCTCGGGTCTATGTGATTTCAGTTAAGAATAGTTATGTTTAAACTATCAACTATGAGCTGAACTATCTGTGGAACGGGTAAACTGTGAAACTCTTAAAGAACTGTTTTCAAAACTCTTGACCGAAGCTTTTTGTCTTTCTTTGGTTGAGTGAGCTATATTCATTGTGCGCCAATGGAAATTGGGTATATACTGAGAAAGGATCTTCCATAAGGGAGGGATTTCAGACAGCTCAACCATTGGGGGAAGGTAGATGTCATGGCAAAAACGCTACTGGTCACCTTAGGAATAAGGGGCCAACTCGTCCACTTTAAGGTTCTGAACTAAGTACCTGTTGGAGTCAAGGGAGCCGTAGGAATATGGAAACTTGTGAGCCATCTAGTCCATGAGCCGAGGAATCAGAGTTGGCAGGCAAAGAAACTGGGACAAAGCCAGAAGGTGTTAAGTCCTGAGCAGAGAAAACAGCCCCTTTAAGAGTGAAGCAGCGAATCTGTTCCTTCTATTAAACTGTTTTAACCACCACCCTGTTGTCTCTTGATTATAGTTATTTCTGTTTTTAGTAGTTTTACTTTTTATTATTTAGTATTTATAAAAAACCCCAATGATTATTATCTCACCTTCTTCTTAGCAGGAAGGATCACATACATAACGAAGCGAGCAACTGTGTGTCACCAGATTGAACCTACTGTTCCTGAGGAACGTTGTCAAGACAGTAGGGAACGTTTGATCAGACAGTTCATTTACTAACTTTTCTTCTTATTTTCATTCTTTATAAACAGTAATAAGACAATAATTGGCACTCTATCCTCGTGGGAACGATAATTTGGGCATTGATACTCCCTTTATTACTTGATGCGTGCACTTGCGCACTTGGGTTGGAATTAAGGAACGAGTCTGTGTTTTGCAAGAACAGAGGAACGTCCCTTAGTTAGAACTTATATTTTCCACCATCAGCAAACCACCCAACACCTCACAAACACGTGCTCACCCTCGCTGAACTCCAGCGGACGATGCTTGACATCATAGTAGCTCTTTTGGCGATTCTGCGCCTGCTTCAACTTTTCTCTGATCGTCTGGATCTGCAAGGTGGTATCTTGGACAAAGTCCAAGCCAAAAAGCTCCTTGTCTCCAACCTCAGACAAACAAGTAGGAGTCCGACACCTCCTACCATACAGTGCTTCGTAGGGCGCCATGCCCAGGCTAGCATAAAAGCTGTTGTTGTAAGAAAATTCTACCAACAGAAGGTACCTATCCCATGCCGAGCCCTGCTCCAACGTGCAAGCCCGCAACATGTCCTCCAAGGTCTGGATAGTTCGCTCAGTCTGTCCATCAGTGTGAGGGTGATAGGCGGTATTCAATCTCAACTGCGTACCAAAAGCCTCCTGCAGCGCCTCCCAGAACCGAGATGTGAACTTCGGGTCCCTATCACTGATGATACTCTCGGGCACCCCGTGAAGCCTCACAATCTCGCAGACATACAGTTTGGCCAACTGCTCTGTAGTGAAGCTCACCTTCACTGGGTCATTATGGGCAGACTTCGTCAGTCTGTCCACAATGACCCAGATAGAGTCACAACCCGTCTGAGTCTTCGGCAAACCTATAACGAAATCCATGGAAATACCTTCCCACTTCCACTGTGGTACTTCAAGAGGTTGAAGTTCACCAGACGGTCTCCGATGTTCAATCTTCACCTTCTGGCAAACCAGACACTTAGACAAAAAAACAGCAACATCTTTCTTCATGCCCGGCCACCAGAAGTTCTTCTTCAGATCTTGGTATATCTTAGTCGCACCAGGGTGGATAGAAAACCGACCCTTATGGCCTTCTGCCATAACCTCTTCGATCAAAGAACCTCGAGGAACCACAATCTTCTGCTGAAACAAAAGCAATTCATCATCATTCCAAGACACGCCGGTCTGGTTCTTTACATATTCTAGACACTCACTCTGAACTTGTGTTTCTTTGATCCTTTCTAACAAGTCATTCACCATATCTGTTGCTTCCATCTCAAGAAGTACGCCCTTACACGGAGCGGTCACTGCCGGATTTCTGAACTTCTCAACCACATCAAAGTTACCAAGTAACAAACTGGATGAGCTCCCGGGTTTCCGGCTCAAAGCATCAGCTACCACATTGGCCTTGCCAGGATGGTACTTCAACTCAAAGTCGTAATCCTTAATGAACTCCATCCATCTTCTCTGCCTCATGTTCAGCTCCTTGTGGTCGAACAGATACTTCAAACTCTTATGGTCACTGAACACCACAAACCTCAAGCCAAACAGATAATGCCTCCAAATCTTGAAAGAAAACACAATAGCAGCCAACTCCAAGTCATGAGTAGGGTAATTCTCCTCATAAGGTTTAAACTGCCTCGAAGCATAGGCAATCACTTTGCCCAGCTGCATCAGCACACAACCTAGCCCCTTCCCGAAGGCGTCGGTGTAAAGCTCAATCTCGAGCGCAGGATCGGGAAGGACCAACACAGGAGCAGTAGTCAGTCTCTCCTTTAACTCCCGGAAACACTCCTCACACTCGTGAGTCCACACAAACGGAGTCTCGTTCCGAGTAAGGCGAGTCAATGGTAGAACCATGGTGGAGAATCCTTGATGAACCTCTGATAGTAACCTGCCAAACCCAGAAAGCTCCTCACTTCCGTCACTGTCTTGGGCCTCTCCCAATCCAGTACGGCTTCGATCTTGTTCGGATCAACAGCGACTCCTTCTGCTGAAATGACATGCCCAAGGAACTTCACAGACTTGAGCCAAAACTCACACTTTGAGGGCTTCGCATACAACTTCTTCTCCTTCAACACTTGCAGAACAGTTCTCAGATGCTCCACATGCTCCTCCTTCGTCTTGGAGTAAATCAAAATATCGTCAATGAAGACGATCACAAACTGATCCAGGTACGGCTGGAAGATCCGGTTTATGTAATCCATAAACACAGCAGGTGCATTGGTGAGACCAAACAGAATCAC